GATGGCAGAACAAGGAGCAATGGTCTCAAGTTACAATGGGGGAGGTCTAGGTTAGATTTTAGGAAAAACTATTTCACTAGGAGGGTGGTGAAGCACTGGAATGGGTTACTTAGGGAGGTGGTGGAATCTCCATCCCTAGAGGTTTTTAATTCTCAGCTTGACAAAGCCCTGGATGGGTTGATTTAGTTGGGATTGGTTCTGCCTTGGACAGGGGGCTGGACTTGATGACCTTTTGAGGTCTCTTCCAGTTCTATGATTCTATGATTCTATGAGCATCAACTGGGACAGGCTGGGTACAGGTGGCTGGGTACTCCCTCCATTAGCAGGGCCATGAAGCTGCCTGCTGCTGGGCGGCCCTGGCTAGGAATCCTGGTAAACCCCTGGTGGCAGTGGGGTCAGGGGAAACAGGCAGCCTCTGCTGGGGAACAGCTGAGTGAAGGGGGCTGGTGGAGACAGGCGGCCATGGCCAGAGAATCTGCAGAATCCCTAAAGTCAGCAGGGCAGCCCGAGCTGGGGAATCCCTAGCGGCAGCAGGGCTGGCGGCACTGAGTGGCCCCAACTGGGAACCCCGGGGGACACCCAGTGGCAGTGGCCAAGCAGTTCCCAAACCCCAGGGGACCCTGGGACAGTGGGCAGGCAACAAGGTAGGGAGCCCCTGCTGGGCCAACTTCAGCGGGGTCAGCAGCATAGCAGAGAACCCCAGGGAGAGGAGCCCAGGAACCAGGCAGTCAGCAGGGGAGCACTGACTCCGTTGGTCCAACAAACTCCCTGGTATGGGACAGCTCAAGTCCCTAGAATGACAGACCAGGGAGGTCCAACCCCAACAGTGAACTGAAACTATTGCATTCTGCAAATTCCCAGTGAGTCTCACTGAGGAGTCACTATTTGCTCATCTTCCTTGCTGTACAGATCGAACGGATGACACCATCACAGTGCTTACTTCAGAAAAATGACCACCACTGCAATGGAAATATTACAAAATATGAGAGGGATTGAATGCGCCTTGACAGAAAAGTAAAATTCTGCAAACTTGCTAGGTCTGAAGCCATGGGACTTGGGTGACCATTTTTAAAACTTAAAACAGTAGTCAAACAATTCCTGACTTAACACACAGACAGGATTGCCACTTGTTCCATTATAATAATGGTTAAAGATCGTTGTATGCCAAATGTGTTGGACAGGAAGATGTATTTATAAGTGATTTGTGAAACCAAAATAGTTTAGCATTCACTGAAGTTTGTTGCTGACAAATACTGTTTCGCCAGCTCTAGATTTAAGCATTTCAAGAGCACCCGTAATGATTTTATCTATTAACTGCCACAAGATGGTAAGTTGTTTAAACCACAGTACCTATGTCTGATTGTCAGCATTTGGGAACAGCAATGGTATTGCTATAGTCCAGCAGTGGTGATGACTCAGTGTCTTTGGGTCCATGTTAGACAGGGCAATTCTTACAGATTCAGCGTCGGGTTTAGGGGTATGTGTCCTGCCACCCCCAAAAGACTGACCCACAAAATTAATAACATTTAATGAAATACTAAACAAACCCAGATCTGACAGTGGTCATCCTTAAAAGGACAAGTATCTAACATGTAATCATTCTGTCTTTCCAATAAACTTTGCTGATTTGATCTGATGGCAGTTGCATTGGTAACTTAACAGACTAACCAGGATGACCATTGCTGGCAAATGACAGCTAACATTTTACAGTTGCTTAGAGAAATCCTTTCAGTTTCCCAAAGGGACGGCAGCTGAACAGTCCCACATGTTAGATGTTATGTGGGAAAGAGATTTTACTAGTACACATAAAACTGTGTAATTAATTCTAAGGAAGCATCAACCAAAGGCTGAGCATCTCAGCTAAAGATAAAGGCCTTGACTAGCCTTGACTTAGGCTTTAATCATCTAAAAATGACTTCC